TCTTCCGACTCCGTTCAACAACGTTTTCGACCAACGCGCGAGTGCCCAAAACGACGCGTCCGTTTTCTTTCTTCCTTTATTTCGATCTGTCGCAGCTATACTTAGCGAATGGAGAATGGGCGAAGTCCTACACACGTCGACGATAATCTATTTCGAGTCAGCCAGATCTATCGCGCCATTCTCAAAATCAGAAAATACAACTCTTTTCTATATCGCGTATGTCGCGCTGGCGGTGGTAATAATTAGTCAATTCCGATTTCCATTTTAAACTAGGAATACTAATTCGAAGAAGGAGATGAAATACGCACTCAATATTGAATTTTTAACCGTTGCTAAATTTGTTCGAGATCCATGTGAGATATCTTAAATTTAGAGAGTATTCACTTGTATAAAATCCTCTATATTTCTCCTTTCATTTGTTCATGATATTCTATATGTATACATAAGTATATTATTGTATTACATAATTCATTATTCGTGTGCGCGCGAATATGTTTGGAATCTTCGGGGAAATCGATAGGCCCGTTGATCACGTTGAAAAAAAAAAACGTTAAGCCGAGAACATCTTTCTCGAAGACGAGGCCGCAGCCTCTATTTAGGGTGGCCGCGCAAACTGTCGAAATAACCAGCGCATATGGCAGGCCGAAAATAAACTCCTCCTTATTTCCATCCCGTCGAAGCGAGGACCGCGTTCGTCTCACTCTTTCTCTCTCCCTATCTCTCTCCTGATTCCTCGTTTGCGTTTCTCCTCTTTCCATCCTTCCTCATCAGTGCTTCTTCCCAACTATACGCTTCGAACTTCGGGTCGCATACGACTTTAGATGCGAGCTCGAGAGTCTCCGATATGCGCGTGTAGGTAGGTAGAAGACGTACCGGATACCGAGACATTTATTTGTTGCCACATCGCCACGCGCGTAAGAAGGGTCGTCGGGCGAAGGGTGAGGAAAAAAGAAAACCAAAAAAAGGTGAGACGTCGCGTCGTATACGCCTCTTCGAGTATCGCGTTTCGCGGTCACGAAGACGATGAACTCCGCGATTGAAAGCTTGACAATATCGATGGGAAATTTTATAAACCACGATATAACCATCGCGAGAACTATTGATCATCCTCGGAAAGAAAAGGCATCGACTTTCGGCGACAAAGAGCCTTCGACTCATGATTTTGCGCGGCTGAGAATCGCGGGGAAGGTCGTTGCACCAAAACACGCTCTTCTGGCTCGTGTTGATCCGAGAGTCTTCGCGGCGACCGCGAGGGGGATCGGGGTCTCTCCTCTCGACGATTCCCAGACTATTTTTGACGATGAAATGTGGCTCGCCGGTGTTGCCCGCCGCGAGAGGATCGTCGCGGTCGATTTCACGAAGCGCGCGTATCCACGCATCTGTGCGACGCGTAATACGAGCGCCGTTTAATCCGAGAATCTGCTTAACCGGGAGATTAATCGGCGATTGTGGATGAGATGAGGCGCGATGAGGAGCTCTCTCAAAGTCGGCGCGGGGAGATCGTCGCATCTCGCGAAGCTAGTCCATGTGAGAAGCGCACTTTGTGGAAGTTTGTCTTACAAATGAGCCGCACGACGTGTATAATTCAGT